AGGGTCTGACTCGTAAGAAGCAGTGGTAATTTAAAGTGCAGTTATAGAAGGCTTGGCATAGATGCACAGAGTGCGTGATGGTCTGCACAGCACATCGAAGTGCACTAAGAGCCCTGCACCTGGACCCCAAAGAACGTTGGGGCTGAGGAGGCGCTCCGCACGCCCTCCCACTCCAGACGTCATAGTGTGTGCTCTTGAAGCACACGGGTGTGCATGTGGCAGACAGGCTGTGCTCGGCCCTGGAGCAGCTGGGTGGTGTCCACCGTCTTGGTCATCCTGTCCTGCCTGGGCTCAAGGGCTGGGCATCTCAGAGCAAGCCCCAGGTAACACAGATGTCAGTTTGAAATCACCCCCGGGGGGATGACCAGGCCACAATCCCTTCTCCTCCATTCTCCTCTCGGGACCTTGGGCACGCACGCACACACGCCCGGCGTGAGTTTAAGCCACCGGGTCTGGGACTCGAACCGCGGTCGACTACATGGGAGTCCAGCGACATAGCCATTACGCCAACTGCTGGTCCCTATTCTTCCTTTTTTCTTATTGGTTTCTTTGTTTAATTGCCAGAGAAAGCATGCACTCAGCAGAGATGGGGCTGGGGGAGGGGAGAGAGCACCCCGAACAGGACAGTGGGTGTGGCCTCACCTCGGTCCCTTCTCCATTTCTCCATTCTCTTGGGATCATGCTCCAAGCCAGTTTTTCAAGCTTTCGGGGATAGGATCTGAACCACGGTTGGCCATGGGACCCAGTTCCAGCTCCTGTAACTACTGGGTGAGGGGCTGGCCCTGCCTGGATAGTTATCTTTCTTTCTTTTGTGTTTTCAGTTTTTGCTACAGGGAGCATGTACTTGCCAGAGAGAAATAGAGACAGAGAGAGGAAAAGTGAGGAATTGCCCCCCAGGACAGATGGCCACACAGCAACCCTTTCTCCTCTTGGGATTTTGGACACGCACACATGTGCCTGGCATGTTTTTTTCAGGACTTGAACGCATCATTGGCCATGTGGGATCCCGTCACCCTAACTGCCACACCACCTACTGGCCACTGGGTTGCTTCTTGAATTTTGTAGTCGTCATTTTCAAAGTATATTGAATTGTTTTATTTTTTAAAATCATTTATTTGGGACCAGTAGATGGCGTAGTGGTTACATCGCAGGACTCCTACATAGCTGACCACAGCCTGAGTCTCCGAGCCGGCAGCTTAGGTCATGCCGGGCATGTGTGCATATGTGCCTGAAATCCTGAGAGGAGAATGGAGAAGGGATTGTGATGTGGCCATCCCTCAGGGTGACTTCTCACTTTTTGTCTGTCTCTCCAGTGAGTACATGTGCCCTATAGCAAAAAACTCTCTAAAAAATCATTATTATTATTTTTAAATTTTTATTTCTTCTTCTTATTATTCCCTAAATAATTCTTTAACATTGGGACCAGCAGTTAGCATAATGGCTGTCGCTAGACTCCCATGTAGCTGACCACGGTTTGAGTCCTGGACTTGGTGCCTTAAACTCACGCTGGGTGCGTGTGCGTGCGTGCCCAAGATCCCAAGAGGAGAATGGAGAAGGGATTGGGCATGGCCATCCCCCCTGGGGGGTGATTTCTCGCTTTCTGTCTCTCTGTCTCTGTCTTTCTGGTGAGTGCATGTGCCCTGTAGCAAAAACCTATCCAAATGATAATAATAATTATTTAAGGTTTATTTATTTATTATTTTTATTTTGACCCGAGAGAGAGGGAAAGTGAGAATGACACACAGAGAGAGGTAAAGTGAAGCCGCCAGGACCAGGAGTTAAACTGTGGTCGGCCATGTGGGAGTCCCGCACCCCTAACCACCACGCCACCTGCTGGTCCCATTATTAATTTTTAAATTTGCTCTAGGGCACAAGAGAGAGAAAGTGAGAAAGAAAGCCTCCATCCAGGTCTCGGACTTGACTTACAGTTGGCCATGTGGGAGTCCAGTGCCTAACCACCACGTCACCTGCCAGCCTCCAGTTCTGTTATTTCTTTGTCTCAGGCATTTTTTTTAAAGAATTATTTTATTTTAAGCTTTGTCTATTTAATTATTTATTTAAATTTTACCAGAGAGGTAAGAGTGAGGGGAGAGGGAAGTGAGAAAGCAAGATGCCAGGTCTGGGAATTGAACCACGGTCAGCCATGTGCGAGTCCAGAGACCTTAACCTCCACGCCACCTTGTGGCCCCTTGTCTCAGGTATTTTTATTGTCAGTTTTTGTTTTTTTGGGTTTTTTTTGGTTTTTTGGGAGAGGTTTTTCGCTGTAGGGCGCATGCGCTCGCCAGACAGACAGAGAGAGACATAGAGACAGAAAGAGAGAAATCACCCCCCAGGGGGGATGGTCATGCCGCAATCCCTTCTCCTCCATTCTCCTCCTGGGATCTTGGGCACGCACGCACACACGCCCCGTGTGAGTTTTAAGCCACCAGGTCCGGGACGCAAACCGCGGTGGACTATGTGGGAGTCCAGCGACATAGCCATTATGCTAACTGCTGGTTCTTTTTGTTTTTGTTTTTAAGAATTTAGCCAGTTTCTTTCCTTTTCCAAAAGTAAAATACTAATTTCTTATCCTGGCTTCTCAGGTTGATGTTTAAGATAGAAAGATTTGCTCTTTTTCTTTGAGTCCAGAACTTGAGATTTTGGAAGTTACCCTTGGGCATTTGCCTGCTTGCTCAGAGAACTCTCTGGCAGCCTCTGTGTCGCTCAGAGGGGACTGATGTGCCTCTGCGTCTTGCCCCACCAGGCCTCTGGAACCAGAGGAGGACGACAGAACGTGACTGAGTGGGTGCGGCTCCTGAGGGGTCCCGCCCCTGCCTGCCCCAGAGCCAGGGCTGGGGAAGTCCTAGGCTCCTGCCTGGCGTGGCCCAGAGCAGGGCCACTGAGAGGGCCAGCTCCGGGGCCGAGTAAGAAGGGAGCTGGATGACACACGCCCACACCGATGAGTGTGCAGTCGCACCCTACCGTGAGTGCTTTCATAAGAGTGTGTAGATTTAAGGTCTGTTTTCAGGTAGTTTTCTTTTTTTTGGAGAGATTTTCGCTATAGGGCGCGCGTGCTCACCAGACAGACAGAGAGAGACAGAGAGACAGAAAGCGAGAAATCACCCCCCCAGGGGAGATGGTCACGCCGCAATCCCTTCTCCTCCATTCTCCTCCTGGGATCTTGGGCACGCACGCACATGCACCCGGCGTGAGTTTTAAGCCACCGGGTCCGGGACACGAACCGCAGTCGACTACGTGGGAGTCCAGCGACATAGCCATTACACTAACTGCTGGTTCCCTCAGGTAGTTTTCAAAATAAAACCTTTTTTTAAAAAATTTGTCAAGGGCTTGTGTACTCATGCGCACACAAGCAAGAAAGCATCTGAGGGGGCGTGGTCTCGTCGCCACCCCTCCTCCATTTGCCGCTGGTACGGTTCTCAAGTACCTGGGCCAGGACTCCAACCCTGCTGTTGGCCATGTGGAACCCAGCTGCCTTAATCACCAGGCCACGGAGCCAGCCATCGAAATTTAAAAATATATATACATATATACATACATATATATGTGTGTGTGTGTATATATATATATAAAATCATTTCGACTTTTTACTTTTTTTTTTTTTTTTCGGTTTTTGCCACAGGGCACATGCGTTCACCTGAGAGAGACAGACAGGGAAACTGAAAAACCACCCCCTAGAGAGGTAGCCATGCCACAAACCCTTCTTCACTCTCTTCTTGGGGTTTTAGGCATGCACGCACATGTGCCCGGTGTGATTTCTAAGCTTCCAGGTCCAGGACTTGAACCGTGGTTGGCCATTCGGAGTCTAGACCATGCTATTTGATGGCCCCCATCAATTTTTCTTTCTTTCTTTTTTTAAAGAATTACTTATCTAAATGTGTTTGTTATTATTCTTCAATTTGACCAGGGAGAGACAGAGAGAGAAAGAAAGGGAAAGTGAGAAAGTAAGCCACCAGGCATGAGGCTCGAACTGCGGTTGGCTGTGTGGGACTCCAGCGCCTCAACCACCACACCACCTGGCCCCCAATATTTTTTTTTAAGTTTCTTTCTTCCGTGAGTGCGAGTGAGAGACGTGAAGATAGCACTCCCAGCAGGGTCCTCATGCCCACCCACCCCAGCTCTGCCGTCCCAGCCGGCGTGCAGGGGACCTTGGACACGGGCTAGGAGCCGTTGGCATGGGTCACCCTCACAGAGCTCTCACTGCGAAGGCGCCACTCTGCCCCAGAGTTTCTTCTTTATTCAAAAAATAAGGCAACTTACTGTGGAAAGCTCAGAATCGGTGGGAAGGGAGCTCTGTCTGGGGAGCACATCTGTATCTGCCGTGTGTCGGGGTTGTCCGTGTCTTACAAGCCCATCCGCCTGTGTGCGGGGCTGCCCTGTCCCCACTGCAGCCAGGCTGTGCCGTGAGGTCCTCCCCAGCCTCACTTGTGTCGCGGGGCGACGCGGCATCGCACCGTGCAGGGACAGGCTGGCCTGCCGCCGCCCCGTGCAGGGGCACCGGGCGGCACCCACCCCCACTGGTGGGCGTGCGGGTGTGGAGGGGCTCGTCTGCAGATGCGGCCGGCTCCCGTCTCCCTTTCCCCTTTGCCGGTGTGGACACCGCACATAGCAGCCTCGAACCTCTCTCAGCACCTCTTCCCATCCCACAGCTCAGCTGGGGTAGGACTGTGATATGTTCAGAGGTCTTCTTGTAAGCCAAGCTCGCCGGTGTGTGTTCCCTTGTGGTCCGGCCTTAGGCCGTGGCGCCTGGTGAAGGCCTGGCCGGCATGGGCGGATGGGGGCCGAGGCCTTCAGGGGCCGACCCTGGCTGTGGGGAGCGTTCCCACCCGCCTGCCCCAGCCACAGCTTTCACGACTGCGGCTGGGGGGGGGGGGCGCGGGGGCCACCCGGCGCACTGCGGCTGGGGGTGGAGGGCCCGGGGCCCACTCGGGACCCTCACTGAGGCTTGCTGTGTGCTGAGGGCAGGCCCCGCTGGCCTCCTGCTAACACAGGTCCTCCCTTCCAGGACTGGAAGGACCACCAGCACGTGTGCGGCCAGGCGGCGGCAGTAACCGTCCAGGCGGACGAGGTCCACGTGGCGGAGAGCGTGATGGAGAAGGTCACCGTGTGAGGGCCCCACTGGCTGCTGTGGGTGCTGGGACCCCGCGCTCCTGTGAGGCTGTTGCCGGTCAGAGACCCCCTTGAGGACTTCATGGGACACTGAGAAGAAAGGGGTCATAAAAAGGTGAAGAAACTTGCTGGCCAAGTTACTGACAAACCGAGCGGACTGCGCCCTTGGAAGCCAGCCCTGCTGCGTGGCCCCGGGGAGGGCTGTCACGCTGCAGACGGCCACTCCGCAGAGGCCACGCCGAGGCCACCCGGCCTCCCACGGTGCTCTCATCGTCCCTCGGATCACGAGCATCCCGTCTAGCCCATGGCTGTGCCTGTGCCGTGACACGTGTACATGCGTGTGTGTTCGTCAACGAAGTTGTAAATAAAGCCTCCTGCCCCCCACGTGGACAGCTCTGGGGGCCCTGCCCCGCTTGCCCACATGCCAGTGGGAGCTGTGGCTTGGGGTGTGCTTGCCACTGGGCAGGGGACCGGCCCGGTAGCAGTTGGGCATTCACCAGGGCTGCCCTATGGCCAGCCATGACTCCCCAGGAGAGAACTTCATGGCCACCGTGGCACAGACGGCTTCAGCAGCCTGCCCACAGGGGTCCCTGGCACTTCTGAGCAGCCCTGGGCTGGGCCGTTGCCAGTGAGTGGCAGGGAGGCCTTGCAGGAAGGCCAGGGCAGCTCATTCAATGCACATGACCAGCCAGTGCCTGGGCTGTGCACGTCCTCTCCCGTCTGTCCCTTCTCATCCCAGCCCCATGCCACCACTGTGACCCAGGCGCAGGGCAGAGGAGCACAGGGGGTCGGATCGGCATCCCCGGAAGTGAGAGGGGAGCTTACCTCGCATATCTGGGTGTCAGGCTGAGCTGGCGCTAGAAAGGGACTTGCCTCGGCTGACCAGGAGTCACCTGTGTTCTGGAAGCTTCCACCTGTCTCTAGAATTGCCCCAGAGCTTCAGAGCCCCATGTTACCTGCATGCAGAAGGCACAGAAGCTCCTCTGCTTTGGAAAGGTGAAAGCAGCCGAGCGCAGCACAAGACGGGCCGAGGGTGCAGGAGACGGCGCCGGCCGGCCACAGGCCGATGCAATGTCTGTGAGGCAGGAGCCCACCGGGTCAGACTGCCGACAGAGCATAGTCCAGCCCTGCGCCCTCCACCCTCCTCCTGCCGAGACACTCAGACAAGCCTCGGGGCAGGAAGCTGTGCGCTGACCTCCAGGCGGTCCGAAGTAGGGGGCAGGGCCAGCTTAGCTGGGTTTCACAGGGTTCCAGCGGGGCGGGGGTCGGCCTGGGCCAGCTCTGCAGGACAGGGCTTGGGGTGTTTCCTGGAACCGAGGGCGCAACATACGCTTCCCCCTTGGGCTTAAAGTGGAAGCACGAGGACCACACATTTGTTGGGGTGGTCTCCAAAGGTCCTGGTTTCCACGCCTAGGGAGGCGGGTGAGCTGAGTCGGGATGGCAGCCCACAGGCTGAGGTCGGCCAGCCGCTCCAGACCACTGCCCGCCTGCCTCCTGGCCTCGCCGGTGCCCGTGGAGCTTGGCAGCACTGGGAGCACCAGGCACATTTGGGGCGACCCAGGGCCCCGTGATGTGAAGGTCCAGGGCACCCTGTCCACCTGCCCCAGGGTGTCTGCCCCGAGGGCCTCTCCCAGATCCACAGCAACAGGAAAGCAGACCTGAATTCATGACCGGGTGGCTCCCCGAGGGCGAGACTTCTTCCCCAGCAGTTCCTCATGCGGCAGGCCCAGCAGGGATGGGGTCCGGAGGGGGACGAGGCAGCGGCACCTTGGTAGCACTAGGGGCAGCCCCTCCTTGGGACACTCGGCACTCGAGAAGGTGCCGAATGCCACAGCCCTCACAGCCCACCATTCCCAGGGCTCGGGAGAGAAGTGGGCACCCTGGCTGGTCTCCATTGCAGACACGCCACCCCGCCTCAGAAAAGCCAGCCCGCAGGGCTGGGGGCCCAGGGCCCTGCATTTTCCCTGTGAGCCAGGCCTGCAAGAGAGCTGAGGTGCAGCCCAGGGTGCTGTCCCTGCAGGGAGGCACTCTGGCACGGCATCGCCTCTCCAGGGTCAGGCTGTGCAGGGCTGGGGAAACCAGGCTGGCAGGCCCCGGAGGGCAGCTGGCTGGGCCCTGCGGCGGCCTGGGCCCTGCGGCCTGCTCCCTGCTTTCCCCCAGCCTGACCAAGTGGGCAGGAGCACACAGGTTGGCTGAGTGCCCGGTGGACTTCACCCCTCCCAGCCCATGCCCTCCTCCGTGGGCTCAGACGTCTGCAGGCCAGGAGTTAACAGGAGGCCTTGCTCTGGCCTTGGGCAGCTTACAGCATAGTGGCTGGGCCAGCTCCTCTGGGCTTCATAGAAGCTTGCCAGGCTTTTGGACAGGTAGGGGTTGGCTGGGCTGGAGTGGGGGGTGGACAGGACACAGACACGACTTCCCCCAGGGCAAGCTCCTCTCCTGATAGGACACTGCCCAGGGCTACTGTGGTCCCCCCGCTCCTTGGACAGAACGGAACAGACCCCCCTGCAGCCAGCAGCCGGGCTCAGGGGTCTGCTCTGGGCTTTCTCCCAGGGAAGGAAGTTGACCAAGGGGTTAACCGTCTGGGTGGGGATCAGCGGGGGGCCTGGGCTCCAGCAGGGCACAAGCCCTACCCCTGCCCACGGCCACTCTCCCACTCTCGGAGCCTCACAGCGGGTATGAGGAAGGGGTTGTTTAATTAGCTGTGCTAGACCGCGCCTCCACAGGGCCTCCTGCTTCCCGAGGCCTGGCTCCCCGGGGAGGGGTCTTGCGGAAGACGCTGCGGAACTCGGAGTTGAAGACGGTGTAGATGACCGGGTTGAGGGCGCTATTGACGTAGCCCAGCCAGGTGACGGTGCTGACCAGGCGCGCGGGCACGGCGCAGGCGGGGCACAGCGCCCGCGTGATGTGCACCACGAAGAAGGGCGTCCAGCACACCAGGAAGGCGCCTGGGGAGGGGGCCGCTGTGAGCCGCGCCCCCGCGTCCGGCTCCGCCCTTCACCCCGCCCTCGCTCCGGGTCGGCGCCTCTTCCCGGCTAGCACCCACCGATTACCACCGGCAAGACCCTCAGGGCCCGC